CTTGTCTTCTGCAAGGGAGACACTACAACTGTTGGATGTGTGTGTGTGTGTGTGTGGGCATTTTTTTCAACCACAGGAAACAGGAGGTAGTGGATGTGTGTGTGTGTGTGTGTGCAGAAAGACTTGGATTCGAATCTGATTTGGCCACTTATTGTGTGTGTGTGTGTGTGTGGTTTATAGCACTTGAAACTAATGTGCCTAACTAATCGTTGTGTGTGTGTGTGTGTGTGACTGTAGTCAGAGTCACAGAGCCAGGCATATCTACGGGTGTGTGTGTGTGTGTGTGTGGCTGTCCTTGGTGTAAGAGGCTGCTAATGACTCCAAATTGTGTGTGTGTGTGTGTGTGTCTGCGACCCTGACCCCAACCCAGGAGCAAGTTAGAGGTGTGTGTGTGTGTGTGTGTGACAGCTGAAGCTTTTAAGTTTATGGTCCCAGTTTTATTGATGTGGTGTCCTGAACATGAAGTCAAACTGATGCAGAAGAACCATCATATGAGAGAGTGTGTGTGTGTGTGTGTGTGACATCCCCACAGTCAAAGGGACCAGATTCTCAACCCATTGTGTGTGTGTGTGTGTGTGCCTGGATCCACCAATAAGTGACCTTACCATATCACTGATGTGTGTGTGTGTGTGTGTGATCATTTCACTATGCGCAATATTAACTCCTTCTGTCTTTGTGTGTGTGTGTGTGTGTGACTACTGTGATTGCCTATGACAGATAAACCAAGATGCATGTGTGTGTGTGTGTGTGTGAGATAGTAAGGGTTAGAGTACAGACTCAAACCCCAGGCTGTGTGTGTGTGTGTGTGTGGCTTGGCCCCTGTGCTCTCACAGGCTCTCCCTGGGCTCCACTGCCCTCATCTGCATACATAAAGAGCTACCATAAATGCATCAAGAACAATATGGGTGTGTGTGTGTGTGTGTGTGAGAACAGAGAGAGAAAGAAACAGATGAGAAAAAGCCAGTGTGGCAATATGTAAATGGTAAATCTAGATGGTGGACAAATGAACGTTCACTGTAAAATGTGTGTGTGTGTGTGTGTGAGTTTGAATATTTTCATAATGAAATGGGGAAAAGCAGCTGTGTGTGTGTGTGTGTGTGTATAATGCTGAGTGATTAAAGCAGACTCATCATTGTGCTGTGTGTGTGTGTGTGTGTGCGAGGACTTAAATGAGACACTTAGGACAAGTCAGTTTATGTAGTGTTCTGCATCAAATGGGTATTTATTAAGTGTATACAAAGCACCTAGCATTGCATTGCTGAAGACAGGTGCTTAATAAATGATAATTCTTTGATCCTTGTGAAGCTCAAAAGCACCAATTTGCATGGAATCATAAAACTCCTGGTCATCAACACACATTTATTAAGCTCCTAGCACATAATCAACATATACTGAAGGGCCATGGGATACTCGGAAGTAAAGAGTAGATGTGTGTGTGTGTGTGTGTGCTAACTGAGGACATTAAACAGTCTATTTGAAAAGTAAATGTGTGTGTGTGTGTGTGTGCCATTTTTTCTTTTTCACAGGGTCAAATCGGGGGGAAATGTGTGTGTGTGTGTGTGTGACGCTTTAAACTAAAAGATGATGAAACTTTCTGTATACTGTGTGTGTGTGTGTGTGTGGTAACAATGTATACAATTTTATTTCACAAGACAGAAAATGTGTGTGTGTGTGTGTGTGGCTCCTAAAATGTTATTATCTGGGTATATAAATCTCAATGTGTGTGTGTGTGTGTGTGAAACTTTACAATCATCCATTAGACCCTGAGCCGCTACTTGTGTGTGTGTGTGTGTGTGGGCTCTCTGAATTCTATTTTATACTCTACATGTTTCTTTGTGTGTGTGTGTGTGTGTGGGAAAAAGGGCTTGGATTTAAATAACAGTGAATCACACTGTGTGTGTGTGTGTGTGTGTTTCAGTCCTTTTGAATCCTTCTGATTATGCCAACAAGTGTGTGTGTGTGTGTGTGTGGGACGTCTTTAACACCTCTCCCTGTTTAACAAAGGGGCTGTGTGTGTGTGTGTGTGTGTGGCAAGTAATAACCTCAAGCTAGAATTTACCCGTTATTGTGTGTGTGTGTGTGTGTGATTCGTGTAACTACCTTCTATTTATGGCAACCAATAGTTGTGTGTGTGTGTGTGTGTGTGACACAAAATTTCCTTTCTAAATATTTCTGAAGTAAATGTGTGTGTGTGTGTGTGTGAAAAACAATAAGTAAGTGATAGTATAGGCAGTAGAACATGTGTGTGTGTGTGTGTGTGGGAGAGGCAAATGGTTGAGAAATACAGATCTGCTCCAATCTTACCATTTTACAGATGAGCAAACTGTGGCCTAGCCTTTTCCAAGATCCCACAGCATGTGTGTGTGTGTGTGTGTGTTGAACCCACATCTCCTGATACACCGTCCTGCACCCTCTGTGTGTGTGTGTGTGTGTGTCCCTGATCCCCACAATGAAGCACGGTGCGGGACAGGATGTGTGTGTGTGTGTGTGTGAACGACCCTCTTGCCCCATCCTGCCCCGCTCAGCCTGAAGCAACCCTGGGCACCCCTAGGCACATGTCTCAGATCGGCAGCACCCCAGCCGCTAGGTTCTCAAAGCCCCTGTCCAGGTGGGGAAGCCACTAGGACCCCACCCCCACAGCAGTCCTGTGTGTGTGTGTGTGTGTGGTGTCTGAAACCTCCCTTGCCCAGACCTGTTTCAGCCCTGTGTGTGTGTGTGTGTGTGTCCCTTTGCTTCCATCTGTTTCATGCAGGAAAACGGAATGTGTGTGTGTGTGTGTGTGGATGTCCAAGAGGATGTGGTTCCTGCATGGGAGATTTATGTGTGTGTGTGTGTGTGTGGTGAAGGAACATCAGAGTAGAGCAACAGTGCTCGGAGTCTGACAGTCCAAGCAAGATACTCAACCATGGCCCCAGGCTGTAGCATCAAATGTGAGATGTGTGTGTGTGTGTGTGTGGCACAATGCCTGGCATACAGGAAGCAGTCAAGGTATGGTGTGTGTGTGTGTGTGTGTGGTATTTTCCCCTTATTATCAGGTTAATTTGGATGAAGGTGTGTGTGTGTGTGTGTGTGCAAAGTACGGATCAAGACAACAGGGACTCGGCAAATGGCCAAGCAACCCGTGCACTGTACAACCCCGGGGCAGGGGGTGGAGGTAGGGGGGCTGAATGTGTGTGTGTGTGTGTGTGGGTGCAGTGCACAGCCTGCACAATCAGATCTGGCACCCTGTGTGTGTGTGTGTGTGTGCTGCCTGAACCAGATGTCAGGAAATCTTGAGTCCTGGCTGTGTGTGTGTGTGTGTGTGGCTGAGCCACCTTAGGTAAATCCCTTGCCCTCTCTGTGTGTGTGTGTGTGTGTGTGTGAGGGGACCAAATGTTGTCTGAAGTTCCCTTCCAGCTATTGTGTGTGTGTGTGTGTGTGAAGCCGACTTCGATTGCTGAAGGGCTGTCATACAAAAGTGTGTGTGTGTGTGTGTGTGTGGCTTGAGAGGGGGAGAGCCAGCATGAGTGGGGTAGGGATATTCGGAGACAGCTTTTGCCTCAGTCAGAAAGGAAAATTTAATCAGGATACCTAGTGTGTGTGTGTGTGTGTGTGGGAGATGGTGAGTTCCCTGTGGCTTGAGGAATTCAAGTTGTGTGTGTGTGTGTGTGTGGCCTGTTAGAGTGGGAGCCTTGATCATCTGCCCTTTGATGTGTGTGTGTGTGTGTGTGGGTTTCAGAGCTTGGTTCTATTTTCATTAACGCTAGGAGGCACTCAGCTAGGTCTGGATCCTGTCAAACCCTGCTGGTAACTATTAATGCAATGAACTGGTCGGCTGTGTAGCTCTCACCCTTGTAGAGTTTGCACACGTCCACACTCTCCAAATGTGTGTGTGTGTGTGTGTGAGTGTTAGTGTTTACCCTTGCCCCAGCAAACAAACCCTTGTGTGTGTGTGTGTGTGTGTTAACGGCCTTACCCAGATTTGGGGGAGGGAGAAGATGTGTGTGTGTGTGTGTGTGTGGTAAAAAACTCAGGAGAATAAACCACATAAACACTTCTTGTGTGTGTGTGTGTGTGTGAGCTCATGCTAATTGCAAATCGTCTTATCTATTCATTATGTGTGTGTGTGTGTGTGTGCCCAGCAGTAGCAGCTGTGTGGGACTGGGTGAAGTCACTGTGTGTGTGTGTGTGTGTGCAGGATATCCTTTAAAATCACTGCCATTCTCGCTTGTATGTGTGTGTGTGTGTGTGTGCCAAAGAGAGTAAATGGTTGAGGCTGAATTGCATTGCCTGTGTGTGTGTGTGTGTGTGTACAAGGAACAGCAAGATTTGGCAGTTATCCACTTGGGATGATCAATAAGGGTATTCAGTCGGTCTTGGGAAGGTGGGGTCAGAAAATCCCCACTGTGTGTGTGTGTGTGTGTGTGTCACTCTTATTTCCAAGGTGAATGAGTCAAAAAAAAATTGTGTGTGTGTGTGTGTGTGAAGGCTTCTATTCAGAAATTTAGCTCACGGCACCCTTCGCTGTTTAAACAATTTAAATAGATTGTCTTTTCTAGTTCCCTTGAATAGAGTGTGTATTGTGTGTGTGTGTGTGTGTGAATCTCAATTTAGGGTATTTTCCTGATGGTGAATTTAGTGTGTGTGTGTGTGTGTGTGTTCTCTCTTGGTGACTTTCCTGGAGGGGACTAGCAAACTGTGTGTGTGTGTGTGTGTGTGTCTCTCAAATAATGGAGATACAAATGCTCACATTTATGTGTGTGTGTGTGTGTGTGACAATACTTTCACACAGATGATCATCTCTGATCTTTTCTGTGTGTGTGTGTGTGTGTGGCAGAAATCCCATTTCATAGATGTAGTAACTGGGCTCAGAGAGTAAAGCCACACACCCCAAGTCACACAGCTAGAAATAAACAGAGCCTGAGGCTATGTGTGTGTGTGTGTGTGTGCCCCTACACCTAAGCTTACCTCTCGGATGGTCACTCTTTGTGTGTGTGTGTGTGTGTGTAATTTCACAGTACCTTTCTGCTTCTTGGTCTGTGCTCTGTGTGTGTGTGTGTGTGTGGTTGAAGCTGCTCATGTCCACGTAGCCGTCATTTTCATTGTGTGTGTGTGTGTGTGTGCTCTGATCTTCAAACAGTTTTGTAAATGTCCCAGCCCTTGTGTGTGTGTGTGTGTGTGTCTGAATATTTTCATAGTCTGAGTTCATGGCTGGGATGTGTGTGTGTGTGTGTGTGTGGGCGTTGGGGAATGAGATGGACCTCGGCTTGGTCAGGGTGTGTGTGTGTGTGTGTGTGCGGGAGCGGTCTTCGAAGGACTCCACTCTGGACACCGTCCTGCTGAAGGGGACACCTTTCCTCTTGCCATCCCTGTAGAAGATGAGGGAGGAAGGGTGTGTGTGTGTGTGTGTGTGGCCAGTCCGAGCCTTAAGCTGCGGGGAGTTGCTGAGGCTGTGTGTGTGTGTGTGTGTGAGCCTGGCAGGCCCATGGTAGCTGGATTCTGAGGACGATGTGTGTGTGTGTGTGTGTGCATCCACGTGCACTTTGTTCTCCGACTTCTTTTTAAAATGTGTGTGTGTGTGTGTGTGGAAGGATGACTTCTTCTTCTTGGTGTACTTGTCTGGGGTGTGTGTGTGTGTGTGTGTGGAGGGAGAGCTCTTTGTGATGGGCTTTTTGGTGATGCATGTGTGTGTGTGTGTGTGTGGGATGTCGACCACAGAAGAGGGTGTTGAGGTGCCGCTGGACGGAAGGTGGTTCCTCTGGGAGAAACTCCCAGAGGAGCCAATCATACAGGGCAGAGTGTGTGTGTGTGTGTGTGTGTTGATCCTATGGTCATCCAAGCCCGATGCCTCCGACTCCCGGTACAAGGAGACTGGAATCTCTCGGCCTTCCACAGAGAATGATCGGGGGTATAGATGTGTGTGTGTGTGTGTGTGTGGCAAGGCCCTGCTGGCTTCCAGCGGCTTCCCCTCCATGTGTGTGTGTGTGTGTGTGGCCTCCTTGGTGGCACCTCTAATGCCAATGGCTGATGATGTGTGTGTGTGTGTGTGTGCTTCTGGGACAGTTTCTGGGACATAGCCAGCCAACTTCTGTGTGTGTGTGTGTGTGTGAGTGATGATGTTCTTCCTGTCGATGGAGACCAGGCCACTGTGTGTGTGTGTGTGTGTGTCTTCATTCGTGCCATAACCACTCAGCATGTCAGATGGTGTGTGTGTGTGTGTGTGTGCTCCTTCCCCAGGGTCAGCCCCTTGCTCCAGGTCAACTTGTGTGTGTGTGTGTGTGTGGAGCCCATCGTCTACGGCATCCTCATCCTCTGGCATGATGTGTGTGTGTGTGTGTGTGGGGCCCTCCCCAGAGCCACACGAAGTTCCAACAATGGGTGTGTGTGTGTGTGTGTGTGCAGACTGTGGTTCCTGCTGTGACTCTAAGTCTTTTGCTTGTGTGTGTGTGTGTGTGTGCTCGCTACAGAAAGAGGTGCTCTCAGTCGGAAAGAACTTGTGTGTGTGTGTGTGTGTGGAAGTCACAAATTCATCCATGCCATCATTCTCGAAAGGTGTGTGTGTGTGTGTGTGTGCGGCAGGTTCTTCCTGTACCAGGTCTTCCCCTTCTCGATGTGTGTGTGTGTGTGTGTGGGTGACTGCTGCCATTTCTTCTGGGTCCGTTTTCTCATTTTGGTCAGGTGGTTCATCCTGGTCATCCTGGTCACCACTGGCTGTGGCATCTTCACCCCCCTCCTCTGGGACTTCAGGGCTGTCTGTGGCCATCTCTGCCTCCTGAACACCCATGTGTGTGTGTGTGTGTGTGTGGGGTTCCTTGCTGTCATCTTCAGCATCCCCCTCAGAGGTGTGTGTGTGTGTGTGTGTGTCATCTGGAGCCCCTGCTTCTGTGTTGGTGAAGCCTTCCTCACCACCCTTCTCTGCCTCCCTGGGTGTCCCAGGGGGCCCAGGCTCATCACTGGGATGTGTGTGTGTGTGTGTGTGAACGTGACTTAGAATGATATCGGTCGGAAGGACTGCTTTGTGTGTGTGTGTGTGTGTGTCCTCCAGGTTGTACATGTTGTGTTCTTCCACTAGCTTTGTGTGTGTGTGTGTGTGTGATGTCTGCTCCTCTGCCCCCGGGTCACGGGCACCGTCCTGTGTGTGTGTGTGTGTGTGGGTGGGGGCTATGCCTCCAACAACCTCTTCACCCAGCATGTGTGTGTGTGTGTGTGTGAAGTCCTCAGCAGCTCCCATCCCCTCCAGGTCGCGCTCCTCACCTCCCTCCTGGCACTCCTCCTCCCCAGCAGCATCTGGAGGCACCATTACTGCATGTGTGTGTGTGTGTGTGTGCCTGGGTTCGTCCTCTTTTGGCGGAGCCTTGGGGACCATGTGTGTGTGTGTGTGTGTGTCAGACTCAGAGCACTCCAAGTTGGACCGGTGCTCTCCTGTGTGTGTGTGTGTGTGTGAGAGCACTTTCCCGTTGCTGCATTTGTTCAAGCTGTTGTGTGTGTGTGTGTGTGTGTGCCACTCACTGGGGGTCGCCAGCCTGGGCTTAGGGGCAATGTGTGTGTGTGTGTGTGTGGACATGGAGTTGGGACTGTGAAGACTATCAGGCCGGGGTGATGAAGGGAATTTGGGTGCTGTCACAGGTGTGAGGGGACTGGCAGTCTTTGGCTTGTGTGTGTGTGTGTGTGTGTGTGAATCTAAAGGATGAAAATAGAGAAAACAAGGACACATGTGTGTGTGTGTGTGTGTGTTCCATTCAGAGTCTACCACTTAGCATTTTCAAGAAAATGTGTGTGTGTGTGTGTGTGCCTATGTGAGCCCAATCTACTAGGTTCTGTCGTCGGTTTATGTCCTCCACCACCATCTTTAAAATCCCTTCACCTCTACTGATAATTCATTCTGTATGTGTGTGTGTGTGTGTGTGCTTTTGTACATAGTCCAGCTAACAAAACTCAACTCAATTGTGTGTGTGTGTGTGTGTGGTGTGCAGATCATTGTAATCATTGATCCAACAACCATGTGTGTGTGTGTGTGTGTGTGCCAGGTAGCCATGAGACAACGTTGAACTTGACAGTCACTGTGTGTGTGTGTGTGTGTGAGTTTACATTCATTCTACAGTTAATTCATTGGATACCATGTGTGTGTGTGTGTGTGTGCGTAGACAGGAAGGTCTTCTAGGGCCAAGAAGAGAAGGTGTGTGTGTGTGTGTGTGTGCAGTTGAGTCAGGCAGGCCAGACTAACAGAACAATTGGAGGACAGAGCCACAGACCCTTGGAATGTTATGATTAAATAGCCATTATCTCACTCCTTTGTGTGTGTGTGTGTGTGTGTCTGTGACAATGATGCATGACTCTTCTAAGGGTCACCTTGTGTGTGTGTGTGTGTGTGGACTGGTGTCTAGCTAACTGCCCTGCATCCAAATTTCAGGGCATCTGGATTTCATGGGAGAAACCGTATGGTATTTTCCGACATGGATATTTGCAATGTGTGTGTGTGTGTGTGTGTGTGCAGGATCTATCTGACATGTCAGAATAAAGGATGTTGTGTGTGTGTGTGTGTGTGAGGAGTCAGGGAAGCAAGAGTTACCATGACTAGGAAGACCTCCTGGAGAAGGTGAAATTTCCAGATCCCTCCCATTTTGCAGAATGGGAGGGATCTTGTGTGTGTGTGTGTGTGTGGGAGTAGCTGCCCACTTCCAAGTTCATCTGTCCTGCAACAAGCATGCCTCCATGCCTCCAAGCCCCTGGCCACACTGTGGGCAGAGTGAGGAATGATGTGTGTGTGTGTGTGTGTGTGACATCTCCACTTCAAATGCACTTCTTGCCTTCTCACTGTGTGTGTGTGTGTGTGTGCAAGTCTCCCCTTGAGCCAGCCCCTCCTCCCAGTGCCATCCCCACTAAGGCCTGGGTTTGACACAGAGCAGCTTCAAAATGCCGGCCTGGCTCATGTGTGTGTGTGTGTGTGTGTGAAGTCCTAGAAGCCCGCCAGCAAACTTCTCCTCCCTATTGTGTGTGTGTGTGTGTGTGCCCTTGCAGCACCTAATCCCAGTCATCTGTAGCTCAGGTGTGTGTGTGTGTGTGTGTGTGTGAGCCATGTTTATACCACATATGTAATTTTAAATTTTCTCACAGCCACATTAAAAAAGTAAAAAAGAAACAGGTGAAGTTAATTTTAACAATATGTGTGTGTGTGTGTGTGTGATCCAAAATACCATCATTTTGGATATCATCATGTAATCTGTGTGTGTGTGTGTGTGTGATATGTCATCAATATACAAAATTTATTAAGGAAATATTTGACATACTTTTTTGTACTAAGTCCTTGAAATCTAATGTGTATTTTACACTTTTCAGCACACCACAATTCAGATTAGCCACATTTCAACTACTCAGTGGCCACATGTGGGTGGTGGCTACGGTGCTGGCCAGCACAGTGCTAACTGGTTTTAACCCATCTCCGTGGGACTGTTCTGTGTGTGTGTGTGTGTGTGTAAATCTGAAGCCAAAGTAAGTATCTCCCCTAAACTGGTGTGTGTGTGTGTGTGTGTGCTGAGGATGCCCCAAAGGAAATTAAAAAGGCCTGGAATTGTGTGTGTGTGTGTGTGTGTATACCCTGTTCCTGAAATGGCCCGATTTCAGAGCCTCTGTGTGTGTGTGTGTGTGTGAAATCTAATGAACTTAGTGGTCTGGTTTTCCAGTGTACTGTGTGTGTGTGTGTGTGTGGATTGGCAGTTGGAACAGGAATACCGCCAAGTGTAAAATGTGTGTGTGTGTGTGTGTGAAGGGAGAGACGAGACACAGCTGTCAAGACTCTAAAGCTGTGTGTGTGTGTGTGTGTGAACCCACACCTATATTCATCCACAAAAACCCACCCAACTGTGTGTGTGTGTGTGTGTGAACCATTAGCTAGTCTGTCATTGTAGAGTAACAGAGTGTGTGTGTGTGTGTGTGTGTGTCTGGGTTCAAATCCTGACTTTGCCACTTATAAGCAATTGTGTGTGTGTGTGTGTGTGTCATCTGTAAAATGGGCACACTGGGAACACCTACTCTCTGTGTGTGTGTGTGTGTGTGAGATATATATTAAAAGTGCCCAGCAGTAGGTCTTCAAGTAGAAGTACTCAATAATGAGAAGCTATTATTATTCTAATAATGTCAGTCTTTGCCTATTGTGTGTGTGTGTGTGTGTGAAGTCTTGCTTTACACTGATATATAATATTAGGTTCAATGTGTGTGTGTGTGTGTGTGGGCACTGGCATGAAATTATTCTTTGAGGGTGGGGACTCTGTGTGTGTGTGTGTGTGTGGTGGTATTTCACATGAGTGCCATGAGACCTGACAAAGGTGTGTGTGTGTGTGTGTGTGCGACCATCACCTTGGCTGCATCACCCCCACCCCCACTCTGTGTGTGTGTGTGTGTGTGTATTGATCTGTGGGCGCTCTCTCCTCAAGAAAGGTTACTGTGTGTGTGTGTGTGTGTGTCCTGCAAGAAAATGCCTTCCCCACAGGATCCCCTAGGTGTGTGTGTGTGTGTGTGTGCACGTCCTGCTTCCAGCTCTGAGATTCAGGGTGTTTCACCTGCATCCTCTCTGAGATCAAAGGATGCCAGAATCAGAAAGGCTTTGTCTGATCCCTTGTGTGTGTGTGTGTGTGTGGAGGCACATAGAGGCGAGGCATACAGTTTTCAGCAAGCTGTGTGTGTGTGTGTGTGTGAATGTGGGTTTCTTGCTTCCTGGTCTAGTCACTTGAACCTCTGCCTTCACCCTTTTGCCCTTGAGCTTTCTTCTACAGTGGAGACTCAGGGCTCCCTGTGTGTGTGTGTGTGTGTGAGGGTAAAATTCAAGGAAACTGAGACCAGAGAGACCAGTGTGTGTGTGTGTGTGTGTGAATTTACATAAGGCTGAGTCCAGGGTTCAGAAGTACTATGTGTGTGTGTGTGTGTGTGCTGGCTTTCATTTGCTCCCATCTAATTCCCATTAATCCTGTGTGTGTGTGTGTGTGTGTATTGAGCACCTACTATGTGCAGGGCACTCACCTAGAATGTGTGTGTGTGTGTGTGTGCAAAAACAAATACCTTGTCCCTGGCGAACCTTATATTCTAGTAGAGGAAGATAAGCAATAAAAAGGAGAAGCATATTACATTATTGTACATTCGATTGTGTGTGTGTGTGTGTGTGAAGATTAGGAGTTCGGTTTTTTTGTTTGTTTGTTTCAATGTGTGTGTGTGTGTGTGTGCACTGAGAGGACATTAGAGCAAAGACTAGAAAGATGTGTGTGTGTGTGTGTGTGTGTGGGTGTGTTCAGAGAGGGCCAGGGTGGCTAGAAGGGAGGGATGAGCGAGCAACAGGGAGAAGCAGGAAATGAGGTCAGAGAGGTCACAGGGAGAGTGTGTGTGTGTGTGTGTGTGTGAACAGAAGAAGGACACGCATACTCTGGCGAATGTGCTGTGTGTGTGTGTGTGTGTGTGGATGGATGCAGGGACACCCATGAGGAGGCTCTTGCAATTGTGTGTGTGTGTGTGTGTGCAATGGAGGCTTGGACCAGGCTGGCAGTAGTGGAAGTGGTAAAGAAGAGTCAGATTCCAAATATGAAGGCAGAGCTGGCAGGATCTGCTGACATTTTGTGTGTGTGTGTGTGTGTGGGCGAAGTCAAGGACAACACCAAGGTTTTGAGTCAGAGTGTGTGTGTGTGTGTGTGTGGTTGGTGCTGGGGAGGGAAAGCCAGAATTTCAGTTTGCACGTGTTAAACTTGAGACCCGTACCACACACCCAGGTGGAGACAGATATCAAGTGGGCTGTGTGTGTGTGTGTGTGTGGTTCAGAGGAGAGGTCTGGCTGGAGGCAACCATCACAGTGTGTGTGTGTGTGTGTGTGGCCTGGTGAGATGACCAAGTGAATGAGTGTGAACAAAGAAAAGAGCAGGGCCCAGGAGGGAGCCCCAGTGGCCCTGAGGTTATGAGAAGGAGTCAGGGAAAGACACACTGGGGAGGAATGAAAGAAAATGAAGGTTGTGTGAGAGCTTCAGCTCTGCTCCCTCCCTCCTCCCTCACAAAAAGGAGCCCCACAGAGCCCCTATCCTCAGTACATGTGTGTGTGTGTGTGTGTGCAATTCTGCCTAGAGAAGACCCATGGGAAGAGATAGCATGTGTGTGTGTGTGTGTGTGCGAGGAGGATTTTCCTGATCAAAAAAGAGGCTGGGTATTGTGTGTGTGTGTGTGTGTGTGTGTAGAGGCCCAAAGGCACTTTGGGAGTATGGTAAATGTGTGTGTGTGTGTGTGTGGGGGGATTACAGGATAAATCCGGGCTGGGGCTTCCTCCTGTGTGTGTGTGTGTGTGTGCTGACTATCCAGAACCCAGCATGGGTGGAGCTGGTGGACCCTCTGCTATCTCATGAGTTCCTCTGGCTGTGGTGTGAACCTTCCTTCTCCCAGTATTGTGTGTGTGTGTGTGTGTGGGGGGGGTCATACCTCTCTGCCCAGGACCTCTTGGCAATGTGTGTGTGTGTGTGTGTGCTCAAATACAGAATACCCTTTGAGCCAAGATGCCAAGATGTGTGTGTGTGTGTGTGTGCCACAATGACAGGAGGA